TTAATTTAAGATAAATTTAAAGTAAACATGATAATTATTTTAAAATAAATAAATTAAATTACATAAAAAAAATTAGTTAATAGAATTAATTAATTGTTAAAATTAAAATTAAATTTTTTTTGTAACTTAATAATTAAAAAGTATATTAATAACATTATAAATATGTGAAATAATAGTTATCGAAATAATTCTTAAAATTAAAAGCTCATATTACAAAATAAAAAATGTTATAATTAGCCCTCAAATATTTTTTTTATTTTATCAATTTGCCCTTCAAATTATTTCGACACTGATTAAGCCCTTAAATTTTCGTTTCACATCAAATGAACCCAATTAATTGGAAACCGCCTGTATCTTGAATCTAAACAAAGGACAAGCAGGCACTTTGCCTTCAGACCAGTGGCAATAAAGTCATAGTAAAGTGCATTTCTTTTTTTCGGATAACGGTTCGAATTCAACCTTTATAAACATGCTAAAAACACAAAAACAAAGGACAAGCAGGGACAACTATGAAACCTTCGAGTAATGATTCTCGGGACCAAATATGAGACCTACAGTTTATTACCATATATTAGTCTTAAATTATGATCATAAAATTGATCTTACCTATCATTATTTGTGTTCAATGTATAAAGAACTACGAATCACCATTTTGTATCCTCTATTTTGTAAAGAAAATCGATAATGCTTTCAAGAATTCCATTCAAATAAGGAAAACTCCAATCTGTTTCAACTCTCATTTTGAGTTGGGTACATTATTTTTCTCATTCTTACTCCGTAAGTAAAATATCAATGCGGTCTCCGATTACTTCCTGAAAGAGCCTTAGTGATGACATGAGAAACAATACCGATGGGACAGAAAAAAAGACAAAGAATAACTGAATGCCGAGTCTCAACCTGGTTTTCTAATCCATCAAGAAAAATCTGCCTGCATTGTATTAAATATCAAGAGAGTTAGACTATATATGCAGCTGCAGGTGTCGGCATCATACGAGAGAGATGGAGAGAAAGAGAGACCTTGCAGCAAAGAGATCAACATCCAACAAATGAATCCATGCAGAAGCTAGTGTCATCTCACTAGAGAACATCTTTGCCATACCAGGAAGCTGAAACCCCCATATGAGCTCAAAAGTTAAACTAGAGCCATTTATTTGCACTCGTATTCATTGACAATTAAATGAAACTGCTAACTTCATCAATTAAGTGCCAACAAATACCTCTGGGAGCCAATATTTACTGGCAAACAACAGCCTGAATGTATCAGGTGTCCAAGAGAGGTAGAATAGATAGGCATATATTAGTCCAAGCACAACATATGGGATTCTGCTTTCCATAAGCTTCTTAGTCTGCATTTTGGGCATCCAAAGCAGATATACACATTACTTAGGGAAATATAGAAGGCAATATATCTAAAGCCCC